TCTTCACATCTTCTAAGGGCACTCACATTCCTTGGCTCCTGATCCCATTTTTTTCTTCAAAGCCAACAAAATATAGCTTAATTTTTGAATGAAATTACTGTAACCTGCTCTCTGCACTGAATTGTGTCTCCTTCTTCGATGTTTTATGCATCTTTCATCTACTTTTAAGTGGTCTTATAAGTACATTGGTTCCACCCAGATAAGCTAATTTCACAATCTCAAGGTCAATAGTCATAATCTCATGTGCAACTGTGTATCAATATGTAACAACACATTCACTGGTTCCGGTGATTAGGATAGGTCGTTCTACTGGGTGCCGTTATTCTATCTACAACAGAACAGTAACAGATGAGTCTAGTCACACATAGGCAACAATTTCTGGCCTGATCCCTGATGATTCTTTGGACCCATGTAGTGATCACTTTCCTGACCTCCCAGAATATAACTCATTATATTTATTCTCAGAGCCACCATACATGTTTCTTCACCTCTAAATAGAGAGTTTTAGCTCCTGGCCTTCAGTAAGGATAGATAAGTCAGTTTCTGAATCAACCCAGAACACTGTCCAGGAGAATAAATCAAAACAATATCATATCCAGGAGTAATGGCTCTAAATATCACTAATGTTAAACATCCACATGACTCAGCACTGGTGGATCTCAACATATCCCCCTTTATTTCACTCTTCCAGTGCTTACAAACCGAATGAATCCTGGCAGATGTCCAAGTAATACACCAACTCAACTGAGCTGAAGTCCTGGTGGAACCTGCTGTGCTTGTATTGTGGCTCAAGAAATGTGGTCTAGAGTCATTCATCTTTCCCCTCCATTAAGAGAAAAGAATCAGACACAGTTCAAAACCATACTAGATTGGAAACAAATTGTATTAATAATATTATTCAGAGCTACACTGACTCTCTCACCTTCTGTAATAATACAAGTCAGTTGGAACTAGACCACCTGTTCAGGGCACAGAATAACTGTGTTCTATTACTTGGATTGAATTGTGCTACTTAGGCCAGATGATCAACAAATGGTAAATATACTAATGGTCTTTATGAAACATAAGTGCTGTAAAGATTAAGAGAGCTAATGAAGCTTAATTTAGATTTTCAATGATACTGGATATGAGAAGATAGTCTTTCCAAATAAAAGATATATTATTGCATGTCAATTTTCTTCACTAAAATGGAAAGAAAATTCTTTCCATTGTCAGTCACTTTAGATAGTGGCAGAAATTTATCCTATACCTTGGAAAAGGGCTCGAATACCTTTAGTGAGGTACAAATGCTTTGTGCTTGAAACACATATGGGGAGCCCTCTGCAGCATATTCAGAGTGAAATGTAAGCACACTCCTTTTTCAGTTACTTGATCTTTCAGATTCTATGATAATGGTGATATCTACATTAGGACAGGATGCTGTTGATGTTCATGGAAAGAGGCAATAGGAAAATAATGAGGAAGACTACTACTGCATTCTGGAACCAGGCCCTGCCATCTAAATCAATAAAATATATGTGATCTACAATATAGAAAACTTCGGGAGACTTCAATTTAGAGAAAGAATAATATAAGAGATCAGACTTATCCTTTGATTTTTATGAAATAACAACCATAAAATATGTGAAGAAATACTTTTCAACATCTACATATCAAAAAGTAAAGTACAGAGGAAATGCAAAATCCCTGAGAGAAGGAAAATAATCAAGACTGAGCCTACAGGTATCTTAGCTTATTATCTCAAGAAAGTTTTATATATGCCCACATAAAGATTTGTACACAAATATCTATCATCACTTTATTTCCAATAGCCAATATCTAGAAATAACCAATCAAAAGAAAGTACAGGTGGACAAATTTTCATATATGCAATGGAATACACTTTAGCAATAAAAATGTTTCACAAGGAAATGTAGACAAGTTTCAGAACAGCTCTCCTGAGTGAAGGAAGTGAAGCTGAGAGAGAGAGAAACAGAGAGACAGAAATAGAGACAGAGAGACAGAACTAGAGACAGAATAATCTATGATTGCAACTTCATAAAATTCTAAATATGTAAAATAATATATAATGACAGGAAGCAAATGCGTTTTAAAATGAGGGGAAAGGAAGATACAGGAAGGAGGAATCATAAAGAGGCATGAAGAAAATTTAGAAGTAAAGAAATAAAGCAGCACTCACTCTCTTGGCTGTGGTGGTGTTTGGAGTGCATGTATTTTGAGTATATTTTCTACAAAAAGCTATATGAAACTAAATTTGTCTATTTTCATTTGTGATTGATTTTACTAAATTCATCAATGTTTCCAAAACTTAAAATGTAGATATTTATTTAAAGCTGTGGAGCAAAATGGCTGCCTCTTAGAGCCCAGGTTTCTTACGTACCACATCCGGCCGCAGAGCACCCATTTTGATGGCTTGGGCATTGGATTTCTCCGAAGGGTTAGAGAGAGCCCACACATGAAAGTAGTGACTTTTCTTTAGACAATAACTGTGTTCTAGAGCTCCCACAGACTCCTACCTTGGTAGATTTATATGTTTAGTTTTCAGACTAAAATCTTAAAAATAGTTGCATTTCTAGCACCCAAGCCTTGGTTTATAGATAGGATGTGAAGTTTTTATGATGCTTTCCCTAAAGCTTTTTTAAATATCTGAGGGTAACAAATTAACGACTCATCTTCAAACTCTACAAATCAAGTTAAGTGGAATGGTGAGATGCTGAACTTGACATTGATAGGGAGGTACAATAGGTCGTTACACAATAGTATCACAATAAATACACAATAGTATCAACTTTACTTCTCTCTTCTGTCCCCTTCTCTTTTGATGGGCAATGGCTTGCTCTCTCATACTCCAGATGCTTACCAAAATCTGTTTTACTCTGACTTCCACAAATGGTTTAGTTATATCTAATGCCTATGTAACGTCTTGCTTTAACCTTCATGAAATGAACTTTCTTCTTCTCGGAAGAAATACATAAAAAGAAAATATTTCCAAAGAATAATTTACATAAAGAAGTATCACCTGCTTTATGTATTTCCTTTGTATCACTGTCACAAACAGAATTTTATCACTGCATTATGCTAATTTTGTACAAGTGGCAGGTGTCTCCACTTCAATATTTTTGTAACAAACAAAAATCACTACTCTCTGTCACTTGTGATGCCTGCAACAACATCGAGAAGCATAAAGTTACATGATTCTGGATAAAATATTGCAAATCCGTATATTCTTATTAAATCATCCTCAGTTATCTTCCTGTGCATTGGAACCAATTATCAGCACATGGTAGTATGCTCTAGAAGTGGTAATAGTGTACTGAAAATATTTCCAAAAGAAAATATTTTACCACCTAAAAATTTTAATAGCAAAACCATAAAAGTAGTTAAACAAACTCTGGCCCTAAATATAATAGAACCACTGTAAAATTTTATTTTATTTATTTAAATTTTTATTTTTTATTAAAATTCTATTATTAAATATAAAATATCAACCACTCTCACAAATTTCTAAGATCCTACATTACATGATAAGAATCTTCTCGGATCATTGTAATATATCAAAAATGTTTTAAAATCCAACAGAAAATTGATCATTCATATTAAACTATTACACAGATTTCATGCAGTGAAGCATTAGATGGGTGAAATCAGATAAAAAAAGAAAACGTACAGGAAAAAGTGATGAAAAATATAAGTGAGTATAACAAAAGTTTTATGGGACTCACAGTTTCTTTCTTTAAAAATGAGAAAAGGAGGAGCATTAAGAATACAGTGTCTTAAACAATGACAAGATATCATTGGATCTCTAACAACCCCAGGTTCTTTCATTGATTTATCTTATAGTAGCTCTTGTTACCTTTATGTTTTTTTTAAATTTTATTTTATTGGTACATTTTAGGTATACAATGTGATGACATTCATCATTGGAAATTTGCACCTTTACATAATCTCTCTTGGTTCTTATTTCTTCCCCCTTCTCCTGCCCTCCCTTCAACCCCTCCACCCCACCCTATTTACAAAGACTTTGTTTCCATTTTTTCATTTTCTCATATTAATTACATTTCCTTATTTCCTTTCTCTTCCCCCCTTTTCTTTCTATTTCACATTATCTATTATACCTTTTAGACCTTATTTACTCTTTCAGTTTCTCACACTAGAGAAACTATTCGGTATTTACACATCTGTGTCCCATTTATTTCGCTTAAGAGTACAGCCTCAATGTGCATCCATTTAGCTATAAATGTCTCTAATTTCTCATTTTTTATGGCTGAGTATTACTGCATTTTATAAAGAAACCACATTTTCTTTATCCAGTCTCCAGTTGATGGGCAATTGGGCTGCTTCCAAGCTTTAGTTATTACAAATTGTGCTGCTATGAACATGGGTCCACATATATCACTGTGGTATGATTCTTTTAATTCTTTGGGGAAGATCCCCAGCAGGGGAATAGCTGGGTCAAATAGGGCTTCCAGTCCTAGTTCTTTGAAGTATCTCCATACTGATTTCCACAGTGGTTGCACCAGTCTACACTCCCACCAGCAGTGGAGTAGGATTGCTCTTTCCCTACAGCCTGTCAGCATTTATTATTGGTTGATTTCATGATACCAGCCATTCTTTCTGGAATGAGGTGGAATCTCAGCATTATTACCTTTAATTAATTTTTTAAAAAGACTTCTATCTCTATTTCAATAGAATAGCTAGTAGCTTTTAAGACTGGAGATTGGTCATTTAGTCAGCTAATATTTTAATAAATCTAGATAGACTGCATTTGATACTACTATTGGATTTACACAAACATTTCTGCTAAGTATAGAATCCTTAAGACTCCTTTCTTTTCATTTATTCTATGCTAAGTTACCTTAAGACAGAAAAGCTTGAGCCCAGGAGTATATGGATGTGGATATTATATGATTTTTCTTCTTTTATTCTTGTTCATCAATTTCAAAGAGAATTCATTCTATCAATTGATCTGTCGATCTATCGATCTTTCCCATCCATCCATTTACACTTTTACAAAAAAAAACCTTAATGGGAAAAATTTAAAAACTTTAAAAAACCTTAAGGGAAAAGTTCCTATACTATAGAAATGCTGAAGAACATATGCACAAAACATCCACAGTTACAAAACACCTACAGCCAATATATTAAAAACATTATCTCCAAGCAAAATTTCTGATCACCTACAATAAAGAATCAAGTTAACATTGCCCTTTTAAATGATATTATTTCCATGGTTGATTTGCACCAAAGAGCTAAGAACAAAATCCCCTTCCAAGCCCTAGAAAATATTAAAGCCTTTTGGAATGAGAATAGGAAAAGAAAGTGGCAGTGAGCAATAATAAATTCTGTAGCATAAATATTATTTTCGTTTTGATGCCTTGGGACACTTCTTGGAATATTCGAACCTATGCAATCAACAACTGACTTTTTCTTTTTTACTTTTTTATTAGTACACATTCATGATACATAGTGATTACATTCAGCTTGGTAGTCTGATAAATACACATATCAAATCTTGCCATTTTTATTCCTCCTCCCAATCTCTTCTGTTTATCTTCCTTTCACAGATCTCCTTCTTCAGTATATTTACAGGTAAATTTAATGGACATCTACATAGAGAAAAATTAAATATTATGAGGTTATGCAATTTTTAAAAAATGGCTTAAGACAGCAATTTCAAGGAAAACACTATAGTACTGGCAAACGTGCTTAGTGCTTAGCCAAAAAGTGCCAACCGGTGTGGATGAAGATTTCTCTCCTCATCGACATCATCTAAGCCACCCCTTTTGCATCCAATTGATGAGCAAGAGTTAAGGCCTGAATTCAGTTCAAACTTCAAAACACACTGCCAGAAAAGTTCAAGGACAATTCTTGATGAAATAATAAAGTGAAATAGGAAAAAAAGGGGCGGGGGGGGGTGAGGGAAGGAAAGAAGGGAATGAAATTAATATGAGAAAAGGAAAAAATGGAAACAAAGTCTTTGTAAATACAAAGAGGTAGAAGGGATGAAAGGAGAGCAGGGGAATGGGAAAAAAATAAGAACCAAGATATATCATGTAAAGGTACAAATCTCCAATAATGAATGTCGTTACATTGTATACCTAAAATGTACCAACAAAATTTATTTTAAAAAAGAAATTAATTTTCACACAACAGCACGTAGATATTCTTCAAATGCATTGATGTGCACCTATCATTATAAAAGACAATTCTCCAATTCAGCAACGTTTGTTACCAAAATTAGAAATAATGGTTAAAAAATCAATAAATAAAACTGAATACCGTCAAAAGTCTTTAAAATAAAGAGAGCATACTGGTAGCTCTAAAACAAAAATAAAAGTCATATATGTGTATATATGTATATATCTCTGTGTAAGAAACCAATATAATAACATATATGTGCATGTATGTGTGTTTATGAAGCATACATATATTTGAAATATTTTGGTTTTGCTTGCAATAATTATGTTTAAAAATGAGAGAAAATAATAAATGGCAGAGTGGAAATGATTAAAGGCAGAGAATGAGCTGGAAGGTGAAGTTTGCAAACATATTCATAGGCAGAAAACAGTAACAAATCAAGGGAAACTCTAAAAAACCCAAAATACTATGAGATATTAAAAAATATCAAAGCCGACAAGATAAACAAATGAAAAAACAAATAATTGACAGGGAAAATAGAATTATTTGGAGAAAAAATAACATAAAGCCATTTCAGATCTAGTGAAATATACTGACTTAATGAGTTTAAATAGTGCCATACAGGATAAACGAATAACATGAGCAGCTATACACCTTGACACTTGAGAAGTTACACTATAAAATGATTCCAAACATCGGGTCATCTGAAAAGGAATAAGAACTATATTTCAACTAAAGGAATAAGAACTATATTTCAGTAGCAACTTTGAAAATGTTTGTTGCCATTTCTGAGACATTTACAAACTACTAGAAGAAAAGTGAGCTACACTTTCCAAAAAATGAAGAAAACTAATTTTGAGCCTTGATTTGTTTAAACATGAAAGATAATAGAGATAATCTCAACTATACACATCTTTATTAGTTTTAATGAGAAAGATATTTGGGTATTTTTTTGTTTTGAAAATACGAAAAACAATTACAGACAGTATGCTGAAGGGAAGAGAAATAAGATTCTACAAGAGATACGAAAAGCACTTGTTAAAAATATAAAGTATCCTCCTTGAAAATGAACAGAGAGATTTCATGCTAAGATGTTACGAATATACAATAAATGAATAAATCATATATTGTTACATTTGAATATTAATAAAATATATGTTATTATCAACATTTCACCAAATGTGAAACAGAAATCAGAGAAAGTAAAGATGTGCAAGGTCATACTTTCAGCGAATAGTTTAGAAATGAAAAAAATCTAGTCTGTTAAAAATCAGCATTTTTTTCCATAAAATCATAAGAAAGAGGGATTCTTGCACCATTTTGGGAAACTAACTACAGTGAACCTTTTGCATAATCTAGAATAGTTTTATATATTATTTAAAAATTTCAAGATTAATTTTATTTCTGCTTGATGAAAGGAACATATTAAAGCACCGGGTAAGGATTAGAAGAGAACTGCAAGGTCCATTGTGCAACTTGAGAATAGGTACCAAAAAAAGACAAGAGTAAACAAATAAAAGTAAATTTGGAAAATAGACCAAAGAATTCTCAGTGAAATAAAAGCAGTAGAGAACATGAATAAAAATAACATTTCACTAACTCTACAACAGAAAAATAAAAGACCAAAGACATAAAAATTAAAATATACTATTTCTTTTCAAAAAGAAAAAATAGTTCTATAGTTAATATGATTGTTCAAATTTCTCAATTAAAAAACAAATTCTCATTATTTGGGCCTAAAATTAGTAAAGCTCAGGTACATGCCTAGAGATTGAAAGTAGATTAGAGGTATCTAAGACCTGAAAGAAGGAAGGATGAATGGGAAATTATTGGTTGATTAGTACAGATTTTGTTTAAAGTGATAAAGATGTTATGGAAATAAATATTGGTGATATTTGGACAATAGTGTAAATATAACTAAGGCTTCTAAATTGCACACTTCAAAATAATTAAAAGAGTGGGGGGACTGCTCAGGAGGGGTATTGGTCAGTTTTTCTATTGCTGAGACATACTACCAACACTGTACCTACAACTCTGACTCATGGCTGTGGGATATTCAGTTCATGGTCAGCTGGCTCCAAGGCAGAAACATCATGGTGAAAGGGCACGGGGACTGAAGGTGCTCAGTTCATGGTGACTAGGAAGCTGAGCAGGGACAGTGCTGGAGAGGGAAAGGGACTACATAGTACCCAACGTCACATCTCTGTGATCCACCCAGACACTCCCCAAAGTGAACCTCACTAAACCCCTAGATGGCTCCCTACTTAATCATGTGGACTTAATTAAATGGAATTACAGTAGCAGGAATGGAGAAAACACCCAACTGTTCTGTGACATTTTAAAATGCTAATCAAAACATTTTTAAAACTTGTTCCTCATAAACAACAGAAAAACATAGTAAAATTAATATTTCTTTACTACCCTGTAACTTAAAATAATAAAAATGCTGAAAATTAATATTTCAATTCTTTACAAAAAATGAATCTGGAATATTTTGAGGAGAGCCCCCCCCCTTGTTGTCAAATCCTGGTGCTTCCACTTTATGCTTACTTGAGCAGTTGGCCTTCCTGACATCTGTCTGCAGATAGGGAGAAGCTAGGAGTGAACCACTGATTTTCCCTTTTACCTCTGAGTCACGAAGTGTCACAGAGAAAGCGACATCTGAAATGAGTTTTAATTTTTAGTTACATTTTGGAAAACCAGTCAGCACTATCATTCTTTATTCCTTCCCTCTTCCATGCTTCCACACAGATCATCCATTCTTTTGTTAAAATGCCTTATGCTCTCCTTTTGGAAAATAATATAAACTTATTATAACAGAACCTATATGACATTTCCTCAGATTTTTCTAGATATAGGTTAAAAGAAATCATTCTCACTCATTTTTGTACACAGGCTGTCCTCACCAGGGTATGATGATGAAATGTGCAAAGCATTCTCATTAACAAGAGAGACAGGGGAAGTTGTTCTGCAGCACTTTAATTGCTTTCTCAAAATATCAGAACACACTTTTACTACTGGTTATAAATGCACAGAGAAATGTAACAATAGAATAAAATTAATGTGTAATTCATTACATATGATTTAAAATATTAGAAAATGTGTAGTTTCAATGTTAGAAATACTGAGTACTGAAATGTTTCAGAGGTTTAGAAACACTGCATCCACGAGTTCTCAGAGTGCTAGCCTTCTCATCATAAAGCATAGTTATGATCCCAGCATTTTTTTCTCTCCCTTGGTAAACCATCACATTCCTCAACTTCATCACTTCAAGCACTTGATTCTTTGTGCTTTACATGTTGTGAAATATCCCTTAGGAATCATTTAATGTGAACTTTTGGGGCCACTTAATTCTTCTGTGACACCTTTATCCTCTTCTTCCAAAATCTTTCCTCAGAGCTGTCCATGACCTTGCCCTTACCAAGTTCTTCTGGCTGACTGTCCGAATCTCTCCAACCTTCCATGTCAATATTTTCATGGTCAGCTAGTTCTTCTGTAGTTTCATTTATGTTCTACTATAATTTCGTTTCCAAAGTTAAGTCTATTTTCTGCTGCACATTCATCATTGTTGATGAGTTTCCATTGTGAATTATTCATTTCTGATAAATGTCTTGTAGTTTATCAGTAGGCATCAAGGAGGCAAAACAACTACACACTATGCAGTCTGTGTCTGACGTAACAGGTGTGCAGTGACCAGTCATTGATTGACTTTGAAAGAAGTGATGTGATTGGTCACATCATGATATGCTTGTTACTTATTTAAATAGAGATGTGAAAAAATAAGCTTCATTTGAAGTCTGTACTGCATGGTATTACTCAAAGTTACATATCACACCAGCTGAAATTCAAATTGTATTGGTGAGGAATTCATATTGATGAAACCATAATAAGTGAAATCCATGTAATGAAATCTATAAAGTGAGGACTGCCTATGTATCCATTTGAAATACACACATACAAAAATTTATCCTAAAAAAATATTAAACCCAGTAAAGGCTCTTGGCAAGCAGAATTTTAATGTTGATCGAGTTAAACTATGAGTTTGTAATGTAAAGGATATTTCCTTTAGTATTTTCTGGAATAATTCTTTTCCCACCCTTAACCTCAAGCTATATTAGCTTTATATTCATAACTGTGTGTCACTGAAAATTATTTTTATGTATGGGGTAGAGAAATGATCCATTTCATTTTAATATGAATATCTATATAATCCAAGCATGGTTTGTTTAAAATATGTTCCTTTATAAATTGTCTCATATTAGTACCATTCATATAATTATTTGAGCCCATAAGAATGGATCCATATATGATCATGCAATAACTTTGTGGCTAATGACATTTAATAATTTTTTAGCTCTAGTATTATTTTGTAGCATTCTTAAGATTTGTCTACACAAAAAATGCTGCTTCTTTCTACTTTTTTTTTACTTTTTCAAGCCTGATCTTTAAGCAATCTACTTTGTTCTATTAACATTGAATATAGTGAATAGGACTTTGAATGACATTCACATCAGAAGTGAAAACAAGAACATGTATTCAATGTGTTCAATATTAATTATGTTATCTCTGAGGTTATTGTATTATTTGGAAACAATGGAAAAATATGTTTTATTTTTAAATGAAAATTTGCTTATCAGTGTATAAACATGCATTCCTATAGCAAGTGGATATGATGCTTAGATCAGTGGTAGCTCATATTACTGGTACTACAGAAAGGAAATCAAAACTATTGTCAAAACAATAAAACCATAGAGGATGAAATAAAATTTGTAAGATGTAGCTCAATAAAATGGCCCCATTCAATTTTCACTCTAATGATCTAGTAGAACACTGTATTCATTGATTTGTTTCTTTCACAAGTCACGAGGTAAATATGTTGGCTACAATATGTATTTCATATATTATTTTTAATGAAAAACAAAACAAAATTATGTGATTAGTACTTGGTCAACAGTCATACAATGATTTCTATTCAAGTTTAAGAGATGAAATCACTATTTGAATTACCTGATTTATACACTAAATTTTATTCTTCAAAAATATTTTCTGTTTTCCTTTTCTACACTCTGTCAGCACATTAGTTACTCTTCAGTAGAGAAATTAAAGCTATACATAACTTTTTTAAAAATCCCTGAATCAGTGTACACATCAGTAAACTGTCTGCAAGTGTCTGGAACCAAGCTAATCAAGATTAATGCATTCATTTAACAGATGGTTACAATGTTATTAAAATGCAAATGATTGGTTTCTGCTAATTGTTCAACATCAGAAACAATTCATCAGATGATTTTTTTAAATTTTCTGATAGCTTTGTAAAATTTACCTCAAGAGATTAACATAAAAGACAACTATGTAAATTTTTCTCACTAACCCCAGGAGAGTCAATCAACTTGAAATAAAAGTAGAATAATGAATATATATTTATAGTAACTGGGAGAATCCTTTTAGTACTGTAATTTGCTCATAAATTGTTTTGCACCCCATTTAACTAGTCTCCATATAATTATGTTCATTGGCATATCTATTCAAATATAATGGGATTTGGTACCTTCCTTTGAGTTAGAAAAGACAATCAAGTAAAGAAAATGATCCACTAGAGGAAAAGTGGATGATTTTATAACAGTAGGAATAGCAGAGAAATTGGAAATTTTAAATTGAAAAAAAATTCAACAAATATCTATCAATCAATTATTATATGCAAAGACTAGTCCCTGTACTTGAAATACATCACAAAATCAAAAAATCTAACATTTTAGAGCTTATATTGATATTAAGATACAATAATAAACATAAATAGATAATACAGAAATTTAGGTCATAAATGTCATGTATATTAATTTAAAATTTTTAAAAATATTCTATGATGCTTTGACATTTTGGGGCCTGTGTAGCTTAACTCTCCCAGAATTATTAAATTCTTTTGTTTTTGTTGTTGTTTCTGTCATTTGTTGTTTTGAGAAATGATGTTGTCATGTTTTCCACATTGACCTGGAAATCCTGGACTCAAGTGATAGCGTCCAGAGTAGCTGGAACTGTAGGCTAATTTTTAAAGATAGTAAGCAACACCTGGAGTGGCTTATTTCTTCTATTTTTCTTTTATACCACAGCAGGCAATATTCTTCTGCCATCCTCATCCTAGCATCAGATTAAAAATCACCAGATACAACTCTTACGTTCCAGAAATCTCTGAAGTTATTCAAACTAGCAAACAGTAAAACTACTTGCATTGCTGTGCCTAAATGTTGGACAATAATGACTCCATCCCATGCATCCCCCTGGCTCTTCCTTCTTCCCAACCAAGTCTTGGGCTTTTCTGGGTAGCAGAGCTGTGTACTGTGCTTATCCTCTTCACCTCTGCCCAGATTATTTTCTCCATGGCAGCTATCTCTGGATATGGTGGCCTCACTACACTGAATAAAACCAAAATCCCAGGTAGATTTGAAACACAGTGGAATAATATACTCTAGACCAATGTCAGGAATGTCAGGAAAACATAAAGAGTGATTATGTAAACTTTGCTTTGAATTGAGTTTCTTGATGAAGTGAAATTTCAGCAGATTAAAAAAAAATAGTTAAAAGAATTCTCCATGTAGATATTTGGGTAAAGAAAGTTCCGGTGAGAAGAAACAGCAGTTGTAAGACAACTAAGGCCAGAGATTTTACCCGATGTGTTTTAGGAAGAACAAATCACCTTGATTGCAGCAGAGGGAAAAATACAGCAGCCAAGAGACACCGGGTTAGAGGTGGAACAAGGCAGATCAGGGAGGATTCTGTAGTCCTTTTTACTGACCATGACTTCCTGTGAGAAAATTGAGGTGGTATTACATGTTTAATGTTAAAGAAATTTTGGTTATATTGAAGTATAAACTAGGGCAGGGGAGGGAAGAATGTAGGAGAAGGAAATGTAATTAGGAGGTTATTAAATTAATTCAGGTGAGACATGATGGCACTCTCAACAGAATAGTAAATGTGAGGTGAAGAAGATTAAGAAAGAGCCACTAAACAATTTTAAGGTGAAGACAAAGTATTTCATTCATTTATTCTTCTGTTTCATAAGTTTTTGTTGTTGTAGTTATTGAATGGATCTTTGAATGGATTTTGTTCCTTTGATAAGCAGAGACCAAAATGTAATAAGATATGACAAATGTTTTGTGGGAGAAAGGCTTGTGTAAAAGGAAGTGGGAACAGACATAGGCAGAAAAGTGCTTGGGCGAACAGAGGGAAGGAGGGCTGGAGTGCAGCTCTGAGAATTTCTTGGTGGACCACAAAGACAGCAAGGACCCCCAGTAACAGAGAAGTGCTTGTAATCTTTCCTGGATTGCTAAATTCCAAATATTGGAAAATGGTACAATCAGATTTAAATGCCAAGAATTTCCTTCCCTAGACTTTACCCAGTTCATTTAGCCACTTACTAAGAGTGGTAGTTTAAACTCCAGTTATTCTCCTCATGAAACAAAAGTGTATATAAAGCCTATACCAAGGAGCATTGTTATCAATTAAGTTCTTTGTCCAGGTGTACTCACACAATTAAAAGGTAGACTGGAGCTGGGCATGGTGGTGCACATCTGTAATTCCTGCACTTTGGCAGGCTGAGGCAGGAGAGTTATAAACAGAAACCTAGCCTAGAGAATCTACTAAGAAGGACCCTGTATCAGAGACAT